TGTGGTTTGTTTTTTTTTTTCTTTGTCTCTTCCTTTTCATTTGTCATTTTGTCAGAGGAAAGCAGCACACAGATATCAATGTTAAAAGAAAATTCTTTTTTTGAAGTTACAATCTTATGTCATCTCTTGTCCCCAAAAGGTTTTTTAAAGCGTTCGAAATGGCACTTGCAGAAGTTTGTGGGGTTTTTTTGGGGTTGTTTTTTTTTTGTTTTTGTTTTTTTTTTTGAAATTGTATCTACAGGGTTTGCTATTTGTGGGGTTTTTTTGGGGTTGTTTTTTTTTTTGGGTTTGTTTTTTTTTTAAATTGTATCTACAGGGTTTGCTGTGGTTAAGCTTGAGTTAAAAAATAGTCATTTCGGTTCTGCTATTAACATTTTTAAGGAGTTTAAGGCCTAATGAACAAGAAAGTAATTGTGTAGCATGCCAATCATCACTTGTCGTTTAGAGGAGGTCTAGAACTGTGAAGCGATGCAACTAGAGTGCATCTACAACCTATGAAACCAGCCTTCTCACACCACATGAGATCATACAAAGTTCAGTGAAGTGTTCTATATCCTAGTTCTAGTTTATTGTCTATCGTAGCATTAATTAACTATTCTCAGCTTTCAAACTCAGCTAGAAATATTATCTGTCTTCTTGAAGAATGAAACACGGAAAAGTTGGCCTTCTAACCCATTGAGTGACAAAAACCATTCTCTAATCAGGCTGATTTATAATTCTCATGGCAACCAGAAGATGAATACAAACTTTACTTCAACTCCCAGCACAGATATTTTGCATTTTCACTGTCTGTGGTTGATCTTTTCCCAAACAGTGTTGGGGACAGAGGGGTGGAAAATGGTAAAATCACTAATGCAGAGATCATGCTGGTATATTGAATTTCATAGTTTAATTTTGAAAATTGTTTGAGCGATACAATCAGTTGACTTGATTTCCACACCACACCACCCCCCCCGAAAGCTCCTCCAATATTTAATTTCACGAAGTCCCCTCTCAGAAATTTCAAAGGATACTTCTTTAGGTGCTTGACTGCCTTGCCTTGTCTATTTGCTCTTATTTTGCATGCAAGATAGAGCCAGAAGCCTTTTTTCTCATTGTGTACGCATAGTGTTAATGGATCTGCTCTGCCTATATTGCCTCATTACTGGAAACAGCTCAAAACACAGAAGTCTTTCAGTGTATGCAAATAAGGCAGAATCATCTACCTGAGAGTTAATATTCTCTACTTTTAAGTGTATTCTAAATCTAATGTTTGTATTTAGAGCATAACATCCTGTTCTCTTTTTTATGGGCAAAAAGCTAAGCAGGCTCAGGCAGCTGTTTGATGTTGGCTTCAAGTGTTATTAATTTCATATTCTATTATTCTTTTCACTGTAGCACAAGTGAAGCTGATGTGGAGGCTGTCATGGATAAGTTGTTTGATGAGCTGGCTCAGAAACAAAATGATTGTACGTAAGTTAATTTCTCTTGAAAGAGAATACATTTAGAACACAATGCCCAATCTCCACTGACCAATTAATAAGTTCCATTGCTGTATATGGGTTGATGCCACACTCAAGTGGCAGTCATTGTATCAGCATTTTGTCTAATTTATGTGTTGAATCATGTGCTATTATTCATCAAGCTATGCATTTCCTATCTGTAAGAGATGAATTTTATAGTAATTATCCAGAGAAGATTGAGTCTTTGTTCATGTTCCCATAGTAACTAGACCAAGGATTCTAAAAGTGCAAGGCAGAGAGCTGAGGCTGAATAAAGCGTGTGGAACCATTGCAGACTGCACGTTTGAAGAGCTGTGTGACAGAGTGAGTACCCAGTCAAATCTAGATCAGTTAATGCTCAGACTTTTCACAGTGTAAAAAAAAGAAAAAAAAAAAATTAAAAAAATTAAAAAGCCCCAAATGCCAAACACAAAACCACGCTATTTTCCCCAGTCATACTAGATGAAGAGAGCTTTTTTTAACTTGGCAGAAACATTTTGAATTTAACATAAAAAAACCCCCAAACCTCCCCAAAAGAACCATAATAATTTTCTTTTTAATGATACAGTAAAGTCACTCTTAAGTATATTACAGATTATCTTCAAAAATCCTAATACAGTATGTGCCTGGGTAACATGATTGCTGGAATTTTAGTCATCACAACATATCAATAAGTAAACAGTATTAAAGTATTGTTTTTAAATTCTGGGGTTTGAGTTGATACTCAAGCAAAGGATAGTAATCCTGGCACCACTAGAGTAAAGCTGTTGTTGCATGCCTTAGTTGTGACTAGCTGGGCAAGGGCTGTTATTCCCAGGCCTTCTCAAAATTTGCCAGATTTTGCTAAATACTGCCAAATTCTCTGCTAAACACGTGGGGTGTGATTCCTGAAAAGCTCTCTTTGTACATGACTGTCAGTGGGTTTGAAGACAGCCCCCCAGAAGTTGCATTGTACTTTGGTGACCTCTCTGCTGCAAACACCTGAAGTTATTGTCAAATGATCACAACTCTAAACTGGGCCGATAGCACCTTTGATTCAGGATGCTGACCAGTCCTTTGGTTGTAACATTATGTTTCCGCTTCCTTATAGCTACCAAGTTAATAACTATTTGGACAGAAATGTTATGTTTCAGGCTGTAGGTTTTAGGCTTCATTGGTTTTTCAGTTTCAGATAAAAACAGTTAGCCATCTGTGAGAATGGAGGTATGCCATGGGTAGAACTGCTTGCTTCTCACTAAAAGTTTTGAGACTTTTTCTTCATTGTGCCTCTTAATGTATCAGGAAACTATGCTGTCAGCAGACACCTGTAAAATTCTTTAGTCCAGTAAATGCCTTATGTACTTAAATAGGATGATAAATTGCTTCTAAGGAGATGTGCGCTGGTAGCTCACATGGCAGCGCCCACTACTTTGGGTCTGAAGGTTCTGATCCTGTTGAAGAATTGTGCAGGGTTCAGACCAACTTGGCGTAACAGAGCTGAGGTGCTTGGTTTGCGCTCAGAACAAGTAAAGAGAATCCTTTGAAATGTTAAACATAACTTAACAGTATTGTTCTTACACTGATCACCCAGGACTTGGGAAGTAGCTGTCTCCATTCAGGTACCTTCCACAGATGTGGTATGATAGTCTCTAATGGAATAATCATGCTTAAAACTAAAACACGGCGGACAATAAATGCTTTTCTTCAGCAGCTTCCTCAGTCATTGCTTATTTTCTTTGCGTATGCCTCCATTTCTTTCTACCTTTAATTGTTATATGCAGTTACTTATTTTGCACTGATTTTTCTCTTTGGATCACTGATGCACCTTCATAAATAATACATTAGTGTGTTGGTAAGCTGGTATCACTGTGCTCACTTCATAGATAGAGGTGTATAGTCATGAACTTCAGAATTGTCCACTAAATTTGTATGAATGGCTTGGGTTGCCTCTAATACAATTTTTTTTCATGAATTTAAACTTCTATAGCGCTTCATAGCAATAGTAAAAAATTCCATCAGTGTAAGCTGCATTTAAGACCTTGCCAGCCCAGTTGCCCTTAAAATCTGCTAAAAGAAAAATTCAGTTGTCAAACCATGAAACCGTGTTCCTTTTTTTTAATGAAATCTTTTACCTCTCTGAGGGAAAATTTTATA